CTGAGAGCATCAAAGTATATCGGGCAAAAAACGGATAGAATTGGAAGGAAAAATAGATGAATCAAATATTATACTTTCAGACTCTGATGCCCCTCTGTTCAAAATTGACAGATCTACTGGGCACACAGTAAAGACATACTTGAGTTCAACAGTATCATCAATCAACTGAACACAACTGACTTCAATAGACCGTTTCATTCAACAACTAAGAAGAATAACAAAAAAGTCCGCATTCAAATAACACTTCATAGACAGAGCAAGTACCTTACAACAAAACATCCCTCATTCCTGCCTTCTAGCCCTTGCGTCACTGCTGTCATTTATTTTGCTTATACTGTCTCCTCTCACAACTAAATTTTCAGTACCATACTGGCTACTGCAACAAGACAAGAAAGACAACATCATACTAGCTGGTGTAATAAGACAAGAAAGTAATATAAAAGGTATACAGATTGAGAAAGAAGATATCAAACTGTATTTGTTCACAAACAATATGATCATATATGCAGAATATCCAAACAGACAAAAGCTTTGAAAACTAAATTGACAGTGAAACCACAATCCACAGACAGTGGGTAAGGCTATGTAGTCTGATCCTAACTTGGCTACTAACTAAAATAAATAGCCACAAGAACAAAAATCCTGAGGGTTTAAATAGGATCCAGACACTCATGTTGTAGGATGAATCTGGAAACCATCATTCTCAGCAAACTGACACAAGAAGAGAAAATCAAACACTGCATGTTCTCACTCATAGGTGGGTGTTGAAAAATGAGAACACAGGGACACAGAGAGGGGAGCATCACACACTGGGATCTGTTGGGGGGTGCCAAGGGAGGGACAGTGGGGATGTGGGGAGGTTGGGGAGGGATAACAAGGGGGAAAATGCCAGATGTAGGTGACGGGGGGATGGAGGCAGCAAACCACGTTGTTATGTGTGTACCTAGGCAACAATCCTGCATGATCTGCACATATACCCCAGAACCTAAAGTACAATTTAAAAAAATAATACCTGGGATAAGATCTAAAGTAAACATAACAGTTATGAGAAAAATCTAAATATCTTTTTTAAGAAAATGACAATCCCTAGATACTAAACCCAAGATTATCCAAATATTACAATCATCAAAAATTTTAACTTAGCTATTTCAACTATGGAGAAATAAAACTCTAGATTTCTCAGTGCTCCTATAAAAAGCCCTAGCTTACTGAGTCTCTTCAAACATCAGAAGAGTTAGATCTACAGTCATTTGCCTAATGAATTGCTCAGATCTTAAACGATAATAAAACTTTAATTTACCTGTCAAAGCCAAATGTGTATAATCCAGACTAAAATAAACTCCAAAGGAGCTGGGGAGACTAGCTTACTATCTTCTTAGGTATTTACTTGCTAGAAAAGATTAATTCCCAGGAGTTGGAAACATTTCCAGATTGTAAAAATGGAGACACACAGAGCTACCTATCTCCTGAGGGTATTTTACTTACATATTAAATAATTAGAGTTTTAATAAAAGACATTATGTCTTTAAGAAGATCCTTTAGGAAGAATGGCTGCCTCCCTCCCTTTTATAAGTATAGAATAATCATTTTTTTTAACCTTCATTTATGGAGAATCTGGCTACTCATATAGGAAAAGTTGCCATTGGGTCATAATAAGACCTAGGGTAAGGGGGAAATGACACTCTTATCAAAAAGTCTGTCTTTGACCCAGAACACCTCATTTTCACATTCAGGATAAAATTAACAAAGATGAATATTAAAAACCAAATAATAACCATGGCCCAAGAAGAATGGGCAAAAACTCTTGGCATGAATGGAATCATAGACGTTCTCAGCAAGTCAATAAAAGCTACAAAAAAAGAACCAAAAGAACTTAAAAGAGAAAAGAGGGGAGAATGAAATGAGAGAATGAAAAAGCGAATAATCGAAAATAATAAACTGGTAGACAGATATATAACTATATCAATAATTAAATGCAAATCATCTGAAAACACTAGTTAAATGATGGAGATTATCAGACTGGATAAAAATAAAAACAAATATATGCTGTCCATATTATCTAAGTCGATGCTGTCTACAAGAAACCCAAATGAAACATAACACAGATTAAAAATGAAAAAGTGGAAACAGGTCAATAATTCAAATATGATTCAAAAAGGAGAAGGCCTATATGATTATCACAAACAGGAGATTTCAGAATAAGGAAAATTACTATTGATTAAACCAATCAATTTATAAAAACAGTAATTCATTTCAATCACATAAAGTTTGTCCCAGGAATGGAAGACTGGTTCAATAGCTGAAAATTATTTAATGTAATTCATATAGCAGGGTTAAAAAGATGTTTCTATCAATAAAGGCAGAAAAAGCATTTGATAAAATTCAAATTTCATTCATAATTAAAAATAACACTTCAGCAAATTAGAAAGAGAAAACAATCTATTCAGTTTGATAAAGTGCATATTTACAGAAATGCCTACAATTTGCACCATTCTTGCATTTACCCTGAGATCAGGAATAAGACAAGGGATTCCGCTCTTACCAGTCTTATTCAACATCAATACCTGAAGTTCTAGCCAGTTCCAAAAGGCAAGAAAAAGACATAACAAGCATTCAGATTGGAAAGAAAGTAATACAACTGTTTTTATTCACACATAATTGTTTACACAGTCTCAACAAGTCTACCAAAAATACTGCTAGAGCCAGCAAGCAAATTAAACAAGATTACAGGTTACATATCAGTCTACGAAAACGTCAGTAGTATTTCTATCCACTAGTAATGAAAAATTTGAAACCAAAGTTCTAAAAAATACTATTTACAATAGCTAAAAAAATTAAATACTTAGGTATAAACATAGAAAAACTTGTTCAGAATCTATATACTAAAAAGTACAAAGTATTAAGAGAACATACCAAAGAAGTCCTGAAGAAAGAAACATACAAAACTTGTGGATTGAACTCACTAAGTTTGAAATAGCAATTTTTCTCCAATCCACATATGGTTTTAACACAATCTCAATCAATATTTATGTACAGGTTCATTGTAGCTATAGAAAACCTTATTCTAATATATACATGGAATACATAAAGGAACTAGTAAAGCTTCAATAAGAGTGAAAAAGAAGAGCAGATGCAGAGGACTCACATTATTCAACTCTAAGACATGCTACAAAGCTACAGTGTCAAGACAGTACAGTATTGGTATAATATAAACATATAGATCAATGAAATAGACAAGATATTCTAGAAATAGATTCACTCCAATATTATCACCTGATTTTTGACAAAGATGCAAAGGCAATTCAATGGAGAAAGGGCAGTGTTTTCAACGAATGATGCTAGAACAACTGGCATCCACTAAAAAATTATTCATCAACCTACACTTGCACTATATTTAAAAAATTAACTCAAATTTAAATTTAAATAATCTAAATATAAAACTGTAAAATATAAAACTATAAAACTTGTAGATGAAGAGAGAAAATCTTTGTGACAGTCAGGAGTTTTTATATACAATACCAATATCATAATCAGTAAAATAATAACATGATAAATTAGACTTCATCAAAATGAAAACTTATTTTTCTCTTTTATGGGCACTTTTAACAAAATAAAAAGATCAGCCAGAAACTAGAAAAAAAAATTGCAAACTGCATATCAGATTAAAAAAACTTGTATTCGGAATAAAGAACTTACAAAACTGAACAATAAAGAAAACCAATTAAAAAAGAAAATGAGCTGAAGATTTTAACAGATATCTCATCAAAAAAGATTTATGGATGGCAAATAAGCTTGTGAAAAGATGCTCAATATCATTAGTTATTATGGAAATGCAAATCAAATGCACAATGAGATACTATTACACACCCAGTAGAATGGTTTAATAAAGAGTAATGACACTACCAAGTTCTAGAAAGAATGGGAAAAAGTATGAACCCTTAAATACTACTGGTGGCTATGTAAAATATCACAGTCACATGGGAAAACACTTTGGTGGTTTCTCATAACCTTAAACATACACATAACATATAAGCCAGAAAACCCATTACAGGTATTTATCCAAGAGAAATAAAAATATTTTTTATACAAACACCTGTATTTGAATGTGTATAAGAGCCCTATTTATAATTGCTATAAACTAGAAATAACCCATATGTCCTTTAATGGATGAATGAATACATGAACTTGTTAGTAAACCTACATAGTGAAATTCTATACAGCAATACAAAAAGGCAAATTCTTAATAAATGCAACAACTTGAAAGGAACTAAAATGTATTTTCCTAAATTAAGTAACTCAGTCTCAAAGTTTACAGTACTGTATAATCTACTTATATAAAATTGGAGGAAGGCTAAAACATAGAAATGGAGAAAAAACAAGGGTTACCAGAGTCAGAATACAAAGGTGACATTATGAGGGAATTCTTTGACAGTGTTGAAATTGTTTTGTACCCTTTCTCTGGTGATGGTTACAAGGAACTGGGTAAGTATAAAAACTCATGGTACTGTATGACAATAAAGTAGATTTTACTCCATAGGAGTACGTTTTTAAAACATTTTTTTAAAAACCTGTTCTGGAGGCTTTATGTGACTTACACTGGAAGAAAATTCTCAGGATTTAAGAGTACAATAAAATGTTTAAATCCCACACCACTTAAAGACCGTATGCAAACCTGATGATTAAACACGAGTAAATCAAGAAGCTAGAGGCATTCAAGTAGCAAGTATTAAGCAGCAAAGGTACACAGGCTCTTCCTTAAAGAAACAGATATATGTAAGTGTTTAAAACTCTTCACTACCACCCAGGGATGGCACAGTGTAGAAAATATGAAAATCTAAAAGAGAGAATGTGTATTCAGTGAGAGAGATACAAGAGTAACCTAGCCTCTGCTGCAAATGAAGGGTGTGGTAATTTTCCAAGTGAAATAACCTCAATATTGTCTTCAGTGCAGCTCTGTGTCTAAACACTACTTGGAATAGAATACCAATATTCATCAATACCTCTTCGATGGCACCTGCAGAAATTCTGTGACCTGCAACATTTATTACATCATCCATGCGAGACATAACATACACATAGCCTTCTTCATCCATGTAACCAGCATCCATAGTATCATAATATCCCTGAAAACAAGAATAAATAATGTTTGATTAGCATGTACTATTAAATAATGTAATGATTTTAAACTTGGTAAAATATACAGTGTAATGAAATGGATCTGCTGTGAACATTTGCCTTTTTTCATAATCAGACTAGGAAATTAAACTACTTGTTATCTGGGAAGTGTACTAGAATCTCTTTCCTTCTCTAATAGCCAAGAATAAGTTAAAGTGGTTTTAGAGATGTTTAAGTGTTTGAATATAGAATGGTAAAGTTTATGATCCCGATTTCTTTTTTTAATGGAGAAGTAATAGCTCAATACTAATTCTAATATACTTTGGTATTACAAAGTAATTCTTTGATATAGTTCTTAATTGTATTAATTTTTAAAAGTATTAAAGCTCCTAATGAATAATTTCACAATATAGCACTAGTTTATTAATATGGGTTAAGATCAGACTCAAGTTTCAGTGAAATTTAATAGTGAGCATGAAATTTAATTTTTAGTCACTCAAAGTAGAACATTTTTGCTGGTCTAGAAATCACAGTAGAATAAGAATAATGATGAATAAGAAGTAGAAAAAAAATATTTTTCCTAATGCTTCTTAGTTATTTTGAACCTATGTTTATGAGCATGGACTTTAGTGCAAATCCTGGAAAGCCACTATTGTATTTCTTAGACTTTCTTAGACTCAGTATTCTGATCCATTAAAAGGAATAATGAGCTCTGCCTTATAAGGCTTCTGTGAAACATACATGAAACAGCGCATAAAAATGAAGACAGACTTGGACACATCATGAGCTCTCAATAATTTTACTGCAATTAATACTTTTATTAATATTAGATAGATAATCTAGAGTAGCAGTTAAGGGCATGAACTCTCAAGCCCAACTATTCTGGTTCAAGTCTCAGTTCTGTAGCTTCTCACCTATGTGAATTCAGGGGAAGTTACCCAACCCTTCTGTGCTGCTGTTATTAATTTCTCAAATAAGAGGTTTGAGATCAGGTAAACAGAGAACGGAGTCATTTCATATAGTTTAGCCATAAACAGGGGCTTTGAGGGAGCTTTTAGTGTTAAAGGTGATCATGTTAAAATCACATGCACATATCATTTGCCATTGTCAGGCTACAATCAATCATGTCACCACCTGCTCTCTGACGATTTAACTGTTTCCCTGTCAGGCAGATAGACTGAGCTTACTAGAGTTAACTATACTGACAAATTATCCCTGCCACACTCTATCAGGGGATGTTTAATCTTGGCTATCGAGGTAATTCAATGTTGCCATTTTTTTCTAAAGAAAGCTATTTTAATTCTTGTCATTTGTCCAGTTGATTAGGTTATCTGTCCTTCACTAACAAATAATAAAGATAAAATGCCAAATACTTTGGCAAACTTTTTTAGTAAAATTCTGAATGATCGGAATTTTTTAAGATTAATAAGTAAGTATGAAATTTAATTTTTAGTCACTCAAAATAGAACATTTTTGCTGGTCTAGAAATCAGAGAACGAGAATAATGGAGAAAAATAAGTAGAAAAAAATATTATTTTTCCCCTAATGCTTCTGAGTTATTTTGATACCTAAGTTTATGAGCATGGACTTTAGTACAATTCCTGGAAAGCCACCCTTGTGTTTCTTAGATTTTCTGAGACTCCGTATTCTCATCAGAATATCTAACACTGAGCTATTACTCAGTATTCTCATTTTAGTAAAAATCATTCTGAATTTTACTTAGTGAAAAATGAGGACCAGGTGTCCCTGTTGTGGGGGCAGTAGAGGAACAACAGAAAGATGATGTGAGCAGACCCTGATGTGTTTATCATGAAATGCTGTTATAAACATAACACACGTTGCCATGGAGTACAAACTTTCACACAATAACAGAACATCAAACAGGAAGGCACTTTTTGTTATCCAGAACACTGGGTGTGGGGCTTTCAGTACACTGTTTCTGTGCTGTATTTGTATTTTTAAAATGAGATTTTAAAATAAAGAGCTCAGAGAACATTTGATGAATATCAAAAATAGATGAAAAAATGGAAACATGACTTCTGGGCAAGCTAAATGGATTTTGCTCATATAACCGATAAAAGAAGAGGTTAAGGAGTCTTAATCGCATTCTGTAATTCTGATCTGTTGCTCTCTTGCCTGTTGGTAAAGAGGAATCCAGTAGAAGAAACAACATAAAAAGTCCAAAAAACATTTTTATGTAACAAAAACATTCCTGATACTGAGGACTATTAAATTCTAGGAAAAGCTGTTAGGAAAAACGAAGAAACATAGAAGTCCAGAGACTGACAATAAGTGTAAAAGTGTAAAAATGACTTATTTAGATAATTGTAAGTTGGGCATTCTTATCCTTGAGAGCTGGAAACTAGTCCAGATAACCTTTAAAAGTTGCTTTTTGATCTATGATTCTGGGAGCAAGTTTCTTAATTTAATAGGCGAGAATTCAGAAAAGTACATAAGAAGACAAAAAAAGCATATTAAAGTTCTTACGGGAAATTTTTCAAAGTATAAATGCTTGAATGCTTCCTGATTCTTCCAGAGTCCTGAAAAAGCCCCAGGTGGCAATGGCAACCTTACGTAAAAACAGAGACGTTAAAATTATGATGAAAGTGGTGATAAAGACAGGTTGATTAGAACTATTATTTTTCTAGCGTGATGAATAATTACAATTTAAATCCCACATTAAAATATAATTCCTGAATCTGGACAGATCATGTCTAATTGAGGTTTATGTAGCTGATCACTGTACAGCAGAATTGTTGAAGAATGACTTTAGTCTCTGGAAAGTTCACAAAAGGCACAAATATGTGGAATTTAATTATTAGCAATAATCATTGTTTCGATGAAAAGCATAATATTCGCCAAAAAGAACCAAAATGTGTGTCACTGAATTACTTTCTAAGAAAACAATTCTTTCACCATTGAATAGTTATTTCTTTGAAGTACCAAGATGTCATCTTTGCCTGTCTCTTTGTGTAATAGAATATTCTAATTAAGAACCCAGTGTACAAACTTATTTTCATAATCAATGTGCCTCCCTCCTCTGGGAATTCTCTCTTTCTGCTTCCTTTTTTCTTTCCATGATCATCCAGACCCATGTGATTTCTCACTTCTATAAACACACGGAAATCCTTCAGTGTTTAAAATACACAGAACTATGTATCTTTTGTTTCCAGGAAACTTCCTCCTTATACTTCTTTCATTTACAGTGTCAAACAGTTTTGCTTATGGCAAGGGCTTAACCTCAGATTTATTTGTTTATATATGTATGTATGTATGTATGTATGTACATATGTATGTATCTATGTTTACATAAATGAAATTCTCATATTTGTTCCTTGGAGGAAGTACCCTTCCTTCCTTCCCTCCCCCCTTCCTTCCCTCCCCCACTCCTTCCCTCCCTCCCTCCCTCTCCCATTCCTTCCCTCCCCGACTCCTTCCCTCCTTCCCTCCTTCCCTCCTTCCTTCCTTCCATAAATAAATGAAGTTCTCACATGTGGTCCTTGTAGGAAGTGCCTGCTAACTAAGACAACCATTCAAATTGCTTTCTGAACACAGAAACCTTCTCGATACTTTAGTTTGGAATTTTCAATACTGTAAAAACTTAGGAGCTTTCAAAATCATATTTACACAATAAAAAAATAAAAAGTACTACATGGAGTTCTAAATGTGTAGTTCTGATGCCAAGAAAATTGAAAATGTAGTAGAGATGGCTACTGTCCACATAAGACAACATCACACACACTCCCCACAGCAGTGTTTTCGAGTTTGACAACACAAAAGAAAGTAGTGTGGCCACGTGGCCACCTCAACATTAGAACTTCATGGCACTGACTTTTATTCTCACATTCTGTCAGGAACAAAATGCTGTTACAAATGGAAGCAGCTACTGATGCCTCCCTGGGCAGCGCAGCAGATATGGCCTATTTCCATAATGTCCAGCCTCCCAGTAGTGAACCTGGGGAGAACTTATTCCTTGCTAGATGCTCTTTATTTAAAATTATTTTAAGACAGAGGAAATATGTTACATCAGCATTTCTGGATTTCATTTTACATAAAATGCACATGTGGGTATTTTGTAAACTGTAAAAGAATCCAAAGAAATGCTGTTGTGTTGTTGCTACTGCTGTTGTTATTATTACTGTTTGCTAAATCTGTATGAAGGCAATAGGCTGAAATCAATAATCACTCCAGGTTCTTTAACTGATCTTACTATGTCAATATTTGCAAATAACCATATAGATAATTTCACTTCATCAGTTTGTTTTGTTAATATTTTACAGAAAAAATATAAAATCAATTTTTAAATACTGAAATATAATATGACTATAACAACTACTAACAATCTATTTAGCAGCACTTTCAGGATGCTGAAGGTGAAGAAGTGAAGAGGACCCTAGGAAAAAGTGGTAAATTGCATGCCAATATGGGCAGCGAAAGATAACATTAGTGAGTGAAGTAAACTGTATGTAAAATAAATAATAAACCTGACAAAGATGCATTCTGCTTGCATATTAAATAAGAGAAATTCTTCAGTTGTTCCCAATAAATATATCACAATATATAGTGTTTTTCTGAATTTCATGGTGCCATTTTTGACATATACCTGGGTATTGGAAATTATTTCTCTACTATACTGAAGAAAAAGAAGAGGTATCTGTGATAATGGCAAACAACACTTCTTATGGATTGTGGGCAATAGAGAGTGGTGGAGTCTGAAGCAAATTACAGTGCACGTGCCAGGTACAATGAGAACAGCTATTTTTTAATTCCACCTGATTGCTGATACACAGGAATGCTGATTCAAATATCTGAACAGCTCATGATGAGATTTATGCATATCAAAAAACATCTATTAAACAGGCATTTTTTCCCATTCTATCTACCCCAAATCAAACATTTTGGTCCACCAGCATCAACTCACTATCTGCTCATAGTAGAGACTCCTGTTAGTAATCCTACCCAAATGCGTTAGTATTTGGTGCTTTGTACATGAGCTGAGTATCCAGGTAGCCTAGTATGAACCTAATTCAGAAGGTTTACACAGGACCAAGAGGATAGCATTTTACAGAAAGAATGTTACAGAGAGAAAGAGAAAATCTCACACTTTCCAGAAGTCAGTTAGCTTTGCAACCTCTATTTTTAAAAGAAGATGCCCTGCTAACCTGTATTTCTTCTTGCTTCTCAAGAAAAATATGGTGCTAGCAATCTGTAGCAAATAGAGTATACTCCTATAATTAATTGATGCCTACAGGATGAAAGCATAGGTAGCCATCTCCCAGAAAAAAATAAGCCTTAAGGACACCAGCTTCCAGAGATGTTGCACCAAACTTTAAATATGTGCACAACATTTTTGAAGAACAAGGAAAATACACATTTTCACACCATCTCCCATTCTTACAAGAAAGATCTGGATAAGTTTATGTATACACCTGTAGAATCTGGAAATTAAGAATAACACAGTACAGGGTGTATGAACACTGAGGACTCTCTGAACTCCCAGAAATTTAACGTAAAACTTGACTGTTTCCTAGGAGGGTTTTTGGCTTTCATTTAGTTATTGGAACGTTGGTAACATTCACCAACCTCTGTTAAATGGAAAGCCTCTGTTAAATTAAAACCTCTGTTCAACAGAAAGCCCAACCTAAAGTGTACTTTAGTGGTAAATATTGGTCACCCTAAGCATACCTGAAAATATCTTTAATCTTAATGATTAAGAATAGAAAATATCAGCATTTCACTTTCTCTTTGGAATTAAAGCCACCCTTATAGAGGGACATCATATGTCTAGTTAGTTTCCCTTGGATTATAGAGGTTATTGCTATTAAATATGACACATGGTGCTGGGAGATAACAGGGAAGAGAATAAGAAAAAGAGTGAGAAACAGGGGAAGAAGTAAAAGAGATAAAATGAGAAGGATGAGGTCCCAGAATAGTGAAAGGACAAAAGTAGGTGCTGGTATCATTCAATTCATCTTGTAGAGGCATCTAACAAAGAATTCAATATATGTAATATGGTGCAGACATTTTGTACAAAAGAACACATGAGAAAAGAGTGAGCTCAAAGAATTTGACATGCAGAAAGTGATCTATGATTTCAATCTTGAATAGGTTCATGAAGCTGAAAAAGGAGTAAGAAAGAAAGACACTTCATGCTGTGTGACCAACATTCCTGAACCCTTCCTTCCCTTCATGTGTTTCTTCTGTTTCTCTGTTTCATTTATTCTTTCCATTCAGTCAGTTAACCAGCAAATAGATAATGATTTCTTAAAATATATAAGGTATAGCAATAAGGGCTTGAAAAAATAAAGTGGATAATGAGCACACAAGTATAAATAGCCTGCTCAATCTAATCAACACTTACTCTGTGTGTGTGTGTGTGTGTGTGTGTGTGTGTGTGTGTGTGTGTAAACAGTTCTGAAAATTATGAATAGGTGTGATGGTTAAGTCTAAGCATCAATTTAGCTTGCCCAGGGTACCCAGATATTTGGTCAAGCACTTTAGATGTTTCTGTGTAGGTATTTTTTAGATGAAATTAACATTTAAATCAGTAGACTTAGGGTAAATCAGATTATCCTCCATAATGTGAATGAGCTTCATCCAATCAGATGAAGGCCTTAACAGAAAAAAAGTCTGACCTCTCAGGTGGAGGAAGGAATTCTGCCTTCAGATTCAAACTCCAACTTTTCCTGTGTCTTCAGCCTGCTGGCCTGTCCTGCAAATTTTATACTTGCTAGCCTTCACAACTGCATGAGCTAATTCATTGAAACAAATATTTCTCCCTCTCTATGTGTGTGTGTGTGTACACATCCTATTGGTTCTATTTCTTCGGAGAACCCTAACTAGTACAATAGGACATGTTAAAGCCAAGTTGCCAAAGGCTTTTAGAAAACAAAAGATGTAATTGGACCTTTGTTCTAGGAACAATACTGAAGCAGGTGTGATGAACTGGATAACAAGGAGCCACAGTAAGAGGATGAAAATTAAATGTGAGGGATGAAGAAAAGAGAAGAATCAAAGCTGACTCTAAAGTTTCTATTCTAGATTAATAGTGATGCCAACACAAAGAATGTAATGTAGTAAAAGCAGTATTTTCAGGAGAGGTGGCATTTTGGGATTTGTAAAAGTAGATAGGTGACTGAGAATTTGGTTAGATACTGAGTTTTAGCAACCTGTGACATCATAAATGGAGCTATCAAGTAATGTGTTAATAAATACATGTCTGAAATCAGAAGGGAGATGAGCCTGGGTGGATATATTGATATGCTCACCATGTGTAGCTAGATAATTACAGAAATCTTAGAAATTGGTGAGATGATTCAGGGAGAGAGTATAAAAGGGGAAAAAGAACTCTACAGCCAAACACCAATGTTAAAGAATTATCAAAGAAAAAAACTCTACTGAGCCAAAAAAAGGAAAAGAAAAAAAAGAAAAAAAAAATCAGAGCTACATGAGATCCAGGAAAAAGGACTTTCTAAAAAGCCACTGGAATAGAGTTTTAATAATGACCAAATATTAAACAAGGTCAAATGAAGTATAAATTTTGTTTGAAAGTGGATGCAGTGATGGTCA